ATTAGTCACCATATGTTTTGATTAGTTACAATGTCTTTCTCAATCATTGAGCTCTTTTGGAGTTAGGATATCTAGACCCTAAAATTACTGTTGAATCTGAACTCTTCAGATACCAGACATATCAGAAAACTTATGTCTACATTAGTCTGCCTAAAACATCATTCTAATTGTGAGGTTCCCCAAAGCCAGTAAGATAAAACTCCAGTGCCTCTGCTGGCGTTTGAGGTCCTTTATCCAACTTGCAGATCCAAAACTTCTCTGCAAGTAATTAGCTATGAAACTTTTTATTCAAATAGACAAAAAAAAAAAACCCCAAAAAATCTCAGCTAGAAATTCTGTTGGTAAAACATGTAGGGTGGTGGTTTTGCAACTGCCTTAATGCCCAATTTGAGAAAAGATTTTGGGAAAATAAACACTAACTTGACAACATGCATTTCATCTATAAAGTCAATATTTTCTTGAACAACAACAATGAAAAGAAAAGCGGGAAGGAAAAACCCCAGGTACTTCCTTAATTTACCATGACTAGTTACATGCTCACATGATAATTCAATCCTATGGAATCTAGGTCCAAAGAAAATAGCAATGTCAAAAACAAAACGAAAGCACAAAAAAGATGCTGGCAGTTTGGGATTTTTTTTCAGGCAACGTAAGACAAACAGAGTCATTTACAGTAAAAGTCAGTAACTGAGCAGGAAATGGAGTATATGCATTGTAAAAATTACATAGGATTTTAAGGGCTGCATTTTTAGGAAAAAGTCAGCATACTGGGTTCTGGGAGTGCTAACTGGTCACAATTCATAAACATAACTATATTTTGCTTATACCCAAGGCAAAGCTAATTGGCAGAGTGGAAAAACACCACCATAGTTTTAAAAACAGGTCTTGGGGTTCTTTATTACATGTAAACTGAAGCATATCACTTAAATAACTCTGTAAAAATGGAGATAACGCCTCCCTGGTTTATTCTGAAAATCAAATAAGAAAGCATACATAAAAAGTTGTTCTATAAATGGAAAGGCCTTCTAAAATGTACAGTATTATGATGAGAGATCATTATGTAAATGAATAGGAATTCTTTTTTAATATTAACAATTACTCTCTAATTAATACATATATTTGATAATTTGGGGGGTACACAGTTTTAAGGAGAGTAGCTGTGAACAACTACCCCTCAATGTTTTTTTGTGGCTCTCAAGCACTGGGAGGCTTTCTCATTCCCAGTCAAGGAAACAGCAGACAGTTAGGCTGCTCAGTTGTCATGACATTCACACAAATTAGTGCTATCACAAGCAAAAGGCACCTTCTACACTCTTCCCAAGCTTTAGACTGGCCTGAAGTCTAAGGTAGAGAGCTGCACTGTCCTATATGGTAGCCACTAGCCATATGTAGCTTATTAAACATTTGAATTGTGGCTAGTCCAAATTGAGATATGCCAATACACACTGGATTTCAAACTCAGCATAAAAAAATAGAAAATCTTATTGATTTATTTTTTACTTTGATTATAGGATGATGATTGATATTTCAGGTATATTAGGTTACATAAAATATATTATTAAAATTAACTTTTTTTTTTACTTTTAAAAATGTGACTACTAGAAATTTTTAAATGATATATGTGGCTTACATTACTTACATTATAGTTCTATTGGACAGTGCTGGATAAAGTGGTAGTTAAAATGGCAGGCTCTGAAATCATACTATGGTTTTTATCCTAGCTCTTACCATATAACAGAGAAAATAAACTCTCTAAAATTCAATCAGCTAATCTATAAAATGGGGATAATGACACCACGTGGCTGTGGTGAGAGGTAAATAACGCAATGTATATAAAGAACATATTACAGTGCTAGGCATACGCATGCTAAAAGATCCCAGCGTACTTGGACTAAATTGAGTTCCTCTAAACTCCTAAATTGAACAACCCTCTTCCCCCCAATCCTTACCCCCAAAGTGGTAAACCCATTAGGCCGGGGCTCAAGAAGTCTTCGACCTTCGTTTAATAATCCCAAGGATCTAAGTAAAACACTGACCAACAAAGCTTTGGGGTATAACCCAGCCTCACTTCAACTTTTACTCCTTCTGGGCAGTCTTAACCTCATCACCTTTGTCTCATTCTTCACAGTGTATCCTCTAAAATCTTCTATTTTTCCCCCCAAATCCCTAATTTCATCCCAATCTTCCTCATTCTTCTAGCTTACTGAGATGATGGCAATTCACAGCATAAACTCCATCACACCTTACCTACCCCACTCCACTGCATCCTCTGCTTTCTTAAAATGTCTGCATCTCTACCATACTCTTCTTCCTTCAGTGTCAGGTCAACACCCCTTCTCTCCTCACTGCTACAATCTGAATATCTATGCTCCCCCCAAATTCACAATGTAAAAATTAAATTGTATAATTAAACCTACCACACTCCTGTCCTGAACTGTTCAACCTTTGAATGCGGGTAATTATATATCATGTATCTCTGGATGCTACATAGAGCAATCACAGTACTTCACTAATGGCAAGTACTTCATGAAAATTTTAAAAGGGCCATAAAATAATATTATCAGCACCTTTCTTGTGCCAATGAAAACATTTTTAGAAAAAGTATCCTCCTTCCCAGCAAGTCACCACTGCCTTAACTCCTTTCCTTTATATACTTCATTTTAACTGGCCTCCATACCATCCCCTAGCTTACCTGTATCTCTTAACAACTTTTTTCTGGACTCCAGGGCCTTATTTCCACCTACCTTCTAAATATCAGCATTTAGATGACCTGGAGGCAATCTTAATCTAACGTGTCCCAAACTGATCTCAGAATTTTTCTCTAATTGTCTTTCTTCCTATATTTCTTGTTTGACAATAAAAATAACAGTGAACGGAAGAACTTTATATACATTATCCCATTTAATCCTCACAACAACCCTGTGTATACTATTATTCCTCTGTTACAAATGGGATTTAAAGGCATAATAACTTGCTTAAGATCACACAATTATTAAGTGGCAGATGCACAGCCTGGCATGTTTTGAACACTTTCTACCCAGGCACACAAAGCAAAATTAGAAATCTTAGTCATCCTAGAAATTCTCCTCACTCTCTACATCCTACCACCCAGTTCTATCTATCCTGTTACCTAAAAAGTTCCCAAACTAGTCCTCTCCTCTGTGTATTGCTTCTGTTCAGCCACTCAACATTTCACCCTTGAACCACTGCAACGACTACCTGATATTGACTCAAATCTCAACCACCTACAGGGTTCTTTCTTTTAAATTTCATCATGTTGATACCCTACTTAAAATTTTTATAAAGATGTTCAACTGCTATCCAGGCTAAGTCCAAACCCTTTAATTGGGTCTCTGCCTACCTTTCTAATCTCATCCCACCATTCCCCAAATGTGCACTAGGGCAGTCATACTTTACAACTTGTCTCTCATAATGCAGTGACTCTCACTTCTTCCCTAGCTTATCTGGTTCTCTCTTTCTAGGATGACTTCTAACCATCCTTCCAGATTTAGTTCAAGTTATCACCTACTTAAGGAAGTCTTTCTGGCTCAAACCTCCTCCCCTCCACCTCCCAACAGATTAGGCATTCCTTCCTCTGTACTCCTATAGCATGTTTTCCTTATTTCTAATCCAAAACTCATCACAGGTTATTCTAACTAAGTGTTTGTCCCTTCCTCCTGGCTCACAGTTCTTTGAGAAGAGTATTTTTATATTAGTCACATATCCCTAGCATAACCCCTAGACCACTGTGTGTACAGCAAGTGACCTCTTCCGGAAAGTGGAAGGACTAACGTCAGGCTTACAAGTCACAGCAAACAATGTCTGAAAATGTCAGGATAGTCAGTCTTCCATGTTTGCTGAGAGGGAAACAAAACACTCCTGAAAGACTGCTGATGACCCAGAAAGTCAGTCAAGGACATCAGGTGTACCTACAAAAGAAGTAGAAATCAGAGAACTCACAGACTTTAGGGAGAACACAAAGGAATAATGTATTTAAAGAACAGAACAAATCTAACCCACAAAACGAAGGGAAATGTTTTTTTCTGTTCTGAAATGGTTTTTCTATCTTGTATTTGTCATGATTTTCATAGAATAGAAATCCAAGCTATATAGACATACAAGTATATAGCCAACATGCTCTTCAATGAATTTCAAAATGTCGCTGAAGCTTATTCCAGCAACAAAAATCACAAACTTTGCTCACTGCCAAATAAACGAAATTTAACTTCAAAGATAATTCCAAAAATCTAATCAAGACTTTTCCTCTTTGTCTTCAAATGAGATCAATTTTTGGTATCCACATTTCCTCAGGATGTAACACAGATGCCTGTCTTCGGTATATGGATAAACCCAGAACGACACCAGCAAAAACCGTAACTGACTGGAAGGAGTTTACTCGCACCCCTTGCAGAACGCCACTGCACACAATATTATAAAACGCCACACACAACTCACAAGTTATAATGGGTTAAATTTTCTGCCTGGAAAACAACTTCTAAGTCTTGCACCCAGAAGGGTCTGGGAAACGGACTGTAGTAAAGGCCAAACCAGACCGCTAAAGAGCCCAGACCCGGTCTGAGAACGCTCTCCAAGTGTGCGCGCCTTCGAGCCAGGCTTGGTCCGCTTCCCGCCCCGGGGGGAGGAGCCGGCGGCAGCCCGCGACGCTCGCGCTCGGTCCAGGACGAGTGGGGGTGGAGGGGAGGCCACAAACCTCGAGCCTCGAGAAAATAAGAGTGCCAGCGGCCAAACGACACTACCTCGCTGCTCGCGCGAGACACGCAACCACCACCCACTAGCGAGCTGCCAGCCTACCTCCCGGAGCCGGGATCCTACCTCCCGCGATCCCCCTCTCGGCCGCCGCGCGCGCGCGGTGGGGCGGGACCCGGCGCGACCCGGGGGGACGCACTTAGTCCCGCCTTGCCCGGGGAACGTCGGATTGGCGCAGCTCGCAGCCAATCTCACCGCAGTGAGTTCGGCTCTGAAGCTTCCGCAAACCGCGCGGCTCAGGGGCTGAACGCCGTCAGTGTAAGCTGCTGTCGCCGCCTGGCTAGTCCTGCGCCGCGCCGGGCGCCGGCAGTGGGGCGGCAGGTAAGTGGGCACGAGCGCGACAGGGGTTGTGCTGCTGCCTTCGTCGGTAGGGAGCTGCTGGCGGGCCACCATCCGCCTAAGGAGGAAGACAGGGCTCCGGCTGCATCCGCGGCGCCCTGTGTGGCGGTGCGGGCCAAGTGGCCCCAGAGGTTCGCCCCCCAAGCCCTCGGCGTCGTGCCATGGCCCTGACGGAATATGCCGCTGCGAGAAGGAAGGGGCGTGTGGGGGAGGCGCTGCGCGTTTCCCACCGACCCGGAGCTCCGGCTGCGGGGGCTGTATGGCAGCCGGGGACTTACCAAAGGGGGCCGCTGTGGGTCGCCGTCTTCAAAGGCACCGACGAGGGCAGAGCCTGAGCCTCTTCGCTGTAAAGTCATCTTTTGCCGGTCCTGAAGTGGCGCGGCAGCCCTGCTGGGAAAGGTTTTCTGATTGGAGTAAGATCAGTACCACACCACACCAGCTTTGCTTTCTGCTGAGATGTAAACTTTAGGCCTCTTGCGAACAATTTTTTCTATCGTGTAGAAAGTGGGAAAGCTATCTAGATTGGTGACATATTCTGAGTATAACTTACAACATTTAAAAATAATGTGTGATAAACAACGGATGTTTAGAGTAGAAGAAATATTTACACATGTGAATTGGGGACTTTGCTTTGACTTGGTGTAATTAACTTTCATCACCGTAAACCTGGATCCCTGTTCCATAGTTCTTTACAGAGTGAAAGGGACATTATCCTCCGGAAACACTTGCTGGATGGGGTTATGAGAAATTCCTTTCTCTATGCTAACTCTATAATAGAAAGATTTACATAGGAGCTATTCTAAATATAATCTAGCCCCATTATCCCCATCCCTGAGATGATAGGTACTCTTCAGGACAGTTTTGTTTAATGGATTCTTAGATCCAAGTAAACATTAAAATAACTGGGAGTTATTATCAGTCTTCCTTTCGTGTCCATCTTGAACATAAAAAGGGGAGGGGAAAACTATGAAAAGAAGAATGAAAAAGAAAAACTAAAGTTTTAGTGGAGTTGACTAGAGAAATATTCAGAAGACTCATTGCTTTAACCTAGTTGTATCACGAAATTGAGACACAAGTGTTATCCCTTGACCTTGTAAATTTTACACCACATTATGTCAACAACATGTTCCTCCCAGGTTCAGTATTCAAAAAGTAGTGATTGAACTCTGGCTACTCTTTATGGATACAACATTGCGTTAGATGTAAGAATCTGGCTACTCAGAATAGACTTGCTGGGTCAGTTCTTTTTAAAAAATATTAGTTTATTCTGTTGTTTAACTTAGCTCTCAGCTTTTCACTTTGCTTTCATGATATAAGAAAATGTAGCTTTTCTCTTTCAGTTTGAGTTTTCTTGTCCATTACTTAATTTAGTAAAACCAACAGGCGAGAAAACAAGCTTTAGGAAAGGGTTTTTAACTATTTGTCTTTTCAAAGAGAACCATAAAAATACGCCTTGTTTACCTTACCATAAAGTCAAATGTTAAGGATTCTTTACTGCCTAATCAGCATCTGCAAGCAGCATATTTTGGAGAGTGTCTATGTTCTATTTCAGAATAACTAGGAAAAAAGTAATCCTAGTAACTCACTTACTTTGTCAGATCAACACTAGGGGTATTTAGGTTTCCAGGTTTGTTAGTGTTGTTTCATTTCATTTCTCTTCTACAGAGCAAACATGAATGTTGGAGTTGCCCACAGCGAGGTGAATCCAAATACCCGTGTAATGAACAGCCGGGGTATGTGGCTGACATATGCATTGGGAGTTGGCTTGCTTCATATCGTCTTACTCAGCATTCCCTTCTTCAGTGTTCCTGTTGCTTGGACCTTAACAAATATTATACACAATCTGGTAAGAATTTCACCTTGTATTAAACATTTAAAAGTTTAAGGTTTAGTGGCGGCCAGAGGTTAAAGGGTGGGAAGAATGGGGAGTTATTTTTTGATGGGTACAGAGTTTCAGTTTTGAAGATGAAAAGAGTTCTGGACATGGATGGTAGTGGTGATGGATGCACAAAAATGTGAATGTACTTACTACCACTGAATTGTATACCTAAAAATGGTTAAGATGGTAAACTTTATGATATGTATATTTAAACACAAGTTTTTAAAAAGCTTAAGGTTTTATGTTATAAAGAAAAATGACAGTTTTTTTTTAACAGCTTTATTAAGATATAATTCATATACTATAGAATTCACCCATTTATAGTGTATAGTTTAGTGGTTTTAAGTATTTAAGACAATTTTGAAGAATCTTGTGTAGGATTTTATTTTTTCTATCACACTTTATTTCAACATTGGGCCTTTTTTCTAAGAAAGACATTTTTTTCCCTCCTATTGTTTGTATAGAATCTAGAAAATAGTAAGTCATTATAGTAAAAATTGCAAGACACCATAGTTCAAGCTACACTACTGTATTATATTGATTAACCAGAATGCTTCAGAAGAAGTAATTTTCTTTTTTGTTTAACTGGAGTCTAGTGAAAGTCTTTGGTTTCAGTCCTTGTTAAGTCTTTTTAAATTGTGTAAGTATGTTTTCCTGTTTCAGTATAAATATTTTGAGCTTAATCATACCTTATGTGATTCAGGATCTTATGGTGCCTTAAGCTAAGCTGCTTCTTACTATCACTTTCTTGTATTAACTGTATTGCATTATATCTCTACAGTATCGGAGGTTCTGTTGACTCTACTGTGCCATATTATGCAGCCCTGGAAACTACCAGTTACAAAAACAAAACAAAACACATCACAATCCTATGGTGACTTTTCTTCTCTTTAACTGACTATTAAAAGTAGAATGAAAGATGAGAAATCCAGTTAATTGAGAATTTTAATTGAATCCAGATTACTGTATGTTTAAAGATATCAAAAAAATTAAGAACTTAGAGCATTAAAACAAGAAAATGTAGAAGAAATATATTTTCTAAATCAAAATTTATTTTATATCTTCCGAAGTATATTTGAAGTTGATTGGAGGAAGAAAAGGATGATGTGCTGATGGAAATGATAAGTGAATGTTCATTTAGTCCATTATCATGATAGACTTTGGTAGGGCAAACCCTCTTTTATATAGTAACTTCTCTGAAATATTTGACGCTAATCTTTCTCTTATTGAAACTCTTCCTTTGGCTTCCATGGAATTTTTTCTCATAGATATATTTCTGATCTTTCCTTCTCTGTTTCCTCTTGCAGGATCTTCCTTCTCTTTTCCTCTCTTAAATACTCTTGTTCCCAATGTTCTTTTCTTCATCCCTTCTTATGCTGTATTACATATTCTGCCTAGGTTACTTCATCTACCCATATTTTTAGTTTCTACCTATAGCATAATGATGTTTATATTTATATAGCCAGAGTACCTTGCACCTTAAACCAAACAAGTGGAACTCATCTTATTCCTGATCAGTCCCTTACCACTCACAATCTGTTCCAGAATTTGTTCCCAATTTTATCTCAAGACACCACTGTCTGTCCAGTAAGCTAAGCCAGATGGCTGAATGTCAGTGGTAAAGCAATTAATATAAGTATCATCCAAACTGAGACTATTTTGAGAATAAAAGGGAGCTCTAGTAATAACTACTCCAAGAGAATAGCTGTAAATCAGAACCATCCTGTGCAAACCAGGACATATGGCCACCCTCCTAGTCTTAGGATAACTCCTTTTATACTTCATTCCATTTGGTCAAAGTTGTGTCTGTTCTGCTGCTTTACTATCATCTTGATCCGTATACCTTAATTTTTTCTCAGGTAGATTACTCCAGTAAATCAAATGGTCTTCTTTTTTTTTTTTTTTTCCTTTTTGTCTTTTTTTACTGACTGGTAACGGAATCGCAACCCTTGGTGTCGTGCCCATACCGGGGACCAGCAACGGGATCGCAACCCTCGGTGTTGCGCCCGCACCGCGCTCAGCCAGTGAGCGGGAACCGGTCTCCACATGGGATCCGAACCCTCGGCGGGAGCGCCACCGCACTCCCAAGCGGCGCACTCTCCAGTGCGCCACCGGGCTGGCCCTCAAATGGTCTTCTTGATGCTCCTCTACTCTACCATCCTCCATTCCAGCTTGGCAGAGTGGTATTTTAAAAATGCATGTCTTCTCAAGTCACACTCTTAAGTCTTTCATCAGTGAGTCTCCATTGCATTCTTGGTAAAATCCCAAGTTCCTTTCATGGCATATAAGACTAGTTCATATTGGTACAGAGGCAAGAAAGAGAGTCAATCTTATTCCAGTCTCTTTATACATAGGATATGCTCTAGTAATAAGGAAAATCATCTTGCTCTTACCTTTTTGCTTTGGCTTAAGCTCTTCTACTATGTTAATACCCCTCCCTCCTTCCTGCTCTGCCTGTCTTGATTCCTTCTTGTCCAGCAAAACTGTGCTCAGGTATCACCTCCTCCAGGAATCTACACAACTCCCGTGCTGCATTCTTTTATCACGTATTTATCATAGTTTTATAATTAGCATTTAGCTCTTATCTTTTAATTTCTGTATCTCTAAACACATATTTAAGTGTTTGCTGAATAAATTAGTCTTTTCCCTTCTTCAATGGCACATGTACTAAATGTATTTTAGAAGCCATCCCTTGTACCCACTCCCCTGCCATGTTTTCAAGTTGGTTAACCAAGATTGCAGCACAGTATGTGGTCATGGACAAAGGATAGGTAATTGACACCATGTGGGAAAGCAAACTTCTGATTTATTCGTTATTAGTTCACCACACTAAAAACCTAACTAACCAGCAGTAGATGTAGCAATTACATGACTCCAAATTTAAGTTTCCTTTGAAGATAGCCTACACTAACACAATTAAAAATGTGGAATACATACTGAACGCTTTTATATAGGGGGAAATAGACCTAATTGTTATACCTAGTTAGAAAAATATACTGTGTTTGTCTTTCTGAACTATATAGCAGAAACCTACAGTGATTGTTTTTATTCAGTGCTACAGTTCACTCTTAGAGTTATTAATGCTTCACAAGATTCTTAGCTCAGCTTTAAAAGTGAATGAAAATTAAGAGCTACCCATGAGCAACATACATTCTTTTCCTAGTTTTTTTGATATGAGAATATAATCATTAACATTTTATATAAAAACTATTGAAAACAAACATTGGGGTAGAAGATATATAGTCAGATAAGATTTTATTCTTTTTCACTAAAAAGAATATATAAAATAAACTGATTATTGTATTCTAAACACTACTAAGCACATATGGTTTGAAGAAAATAGAAAGGTTTGTACTTCACTTAGATTTTAACACGTATGTGGTCTAGAGTAGAGCTTCATAACTTTTGGAGGGTCATATACGCCTGAGAATTTGAAAGCATACACTTTCTGTTTCATAATTCCCGTTAAAGCCCATGTAAAAATGGTTTTCTCGTGCTTACAGAATAAACTGTCCTTGGCTTAATGTCATCTTCCAACATATCTAATACTTGTTCTGGACCAACCCTTGTTCCTGAGGTATTTCCTAATGGGAAAACAAACATTGTGCAAACAACTCCAATACAATATATTATGCTATAATAAAAGTACATTCAATAAAATTCCATGCAACCACATAGGAGACTAATTATTACTAATAGGGAGGGTTTCACTAAGGAGTTGTCATTTGAGCTAAACCTTCAAAAATGAGGTGGTCGACAAGGTAAATCAAGGCTTTTGCCTCAAAAAGCAAGGAACCCTCAGGGCCAGCCCGTGGCTCACTTGGGAGAGTGTGGAGCTGATAACACCAAGGCCACGGGTTCAGATCCCTATATAGGGATGGCCACTTAGCTCACTTCGGAGAGCGTGGTGCTGACAACACCAAGTCAAGGATTAAGATCCCCTTACTGGTCATCTTTTTTTTAAAAAAAGCAAGGAACCCTCTGCATTTCCTGAGTACTCTGACTGTACCTTTGACAGCAATTTCTGCCCTGCCTTCAAATTGTTTATGCATATATATATTTTTTTACCTTCCCTTAGAAGATTGAATTTTTTCAAGGTTCGGGACATGTCTTGTTTAATTTGATGTGTACATACCATACATGTCCTGTGTCCTATACTTTTGAATTTGCTTTTAGAAAACTTTTGAATTTCCTTTTGGAAAACTTTTGAATTTCCTAATGGAATAACTAGGAAGTAGACTAAGCTTTGAAAGGAAGGGCTCTCTTTTTTTTTTTTTCCTTTTTGTCTTTTTTCGTGACCGGCAATGGATCGCAACCCTCAGTGTCGCGCCCGCACCGGACCGGGACCGGCAACGGGATCGCAACCCTTGGTGCTGCGCCCGCACCTCGCTCAGCCAGTGAGCGGCCGGTCTGTATGTGGGATCCGAACCCTCGGCGGGAGCGCCACCGTGCTCCCAAGCAGCGCACTGTAGCAGTGTGCCACTGGGCCGGCCCAAAGGAAGGGCTCTCTTAACATAGTGTATGATATAAAATTTCAAATCACTATTTTTCTGTTTTTTCTATATATTTATTAAAAGTTGAAGTAGAAAAAAAAAGACATCACATCATGGCTGGTAGAGGGCAAAACTGTTTCTTGGTAATATTTAGGCTTTATGGTGTTATCAGTGCCTCAAACAGTGATCCTGAAATGAAGTACTACCTATTGATCTAAATGGGCATCATAATTTTAAAAATACTCAATCTAGTGTACATTGGGTTTTTCCTAATTAACCACAAAATTAAGCATTTAATAAACATATCACCTGATAGAATGGCTTTTTCGTTTTTAAAAATTGACTTCAAAAGAAACACTCTCGCACAGTGGTGATTTTAAAACCGAATTGAGTCAAACATCATATCTATTCAAACCATCTTTGTTGCTTTGGAAGAGAACTACTGAGGCAAAGGCAGATCTAATATTAAGTATTTCAAAACCACTTTCCCCGATAGATTTTATTTATTTTATTACCTTTTAAAAGTTAATTTGTATATCTTCATCATTTTACAAGTATCATCAGATTCACTAATATAACATCCTAAAGAAAATATTCCTGTACATTGGGAAAAAGGTAATCTTGTTTCCTAACAGGAAAGATGTTAGAAAATCTAATGTAATGATATGAAGCTACCCTGATGATACCATTTGTTTATTTTCAATTAAATGAAAATGAGTTTTTTCTGGTTGACCTTTTATTGATTTTCACCAAATAATATTTATATACCCCAGGAAGCTTTATTTTACCATAAAGAAACTAGTCACAACGTTTCACTATTATATGAAAGCTTAAACTTGAGCTGTTAAGTTAAATCACATACTCAGTCACAAACAGCTTGGAACTATCTTAACACTGACATTACAAAATAGTTTTGTATTCGATATTGATCATATACCCCCTTCCTTGTTTTCCAGGGGATGTACGTATTTTTGCATGCAGTGAAAGGAACACCTTTTGAAACTCCTGACCAGGGTAAAGCAAGGCTCCTAACTCACTGGGAACAACTGGACTATGGAGTACAGTTTACATCTTCTCGGAAGTTTTTCACAATTTCTCCAATAATTCTGTAAGTGTTGAAAACTTTTAGGTGTGAAGCGGATTGGATAAGAAGAAGATGACCTTTTATCAGATTGAATTGGAATTAGAAAGAGTATTTTGTTGAAAACTTCTGAGGCTGGCCAGTTAGTTCAGTTGGTTAGGGTGTGGTGCTGATAACACCAAGGTCCAGGCTTCAATACCTGTATCAGCTGGCCAACCCTCTCCTCTCCGAAAAAAAAAGAAAAGAAAAGAAAAAAAAAAAAAACTTCTATCAATAAGCAGCTACCTCGGGCCAGCCTGTGGCTCACTCAGGAGAGTGTGGTGCTGATAACACCAAGGCCATGGGTTCAGATCCCGTATAGGGATGACCGGTTAGCTCACTGGCTGAGCGTGGTGCTGACAACACCAAATCAAGGGTTAAGATCCCCTTACCGGTCATCTTTAAAAAAAAAAAAAAAAAGCAGCTACCTCAGATAGAGTATGAAGTATAGGCAGAATTTTTAACAGGTTGATAATTAACCAGTTTTCACTTCAGTCAATGCATATGGAGACATTACATGCTCATCAGTGTGCCTAGACATTCTAGGATATATAGGTCATATATATTCCAGTTCCTGTCCTTAAATTTCTTACAAGAAAACTGAACATATATTCTATCTATCAGATTAATCTCTCTAAACAATTATTTAGATGATCAGAAGTTCATTGGCCAACCAAACCTATTCAGATGTTCAAACTCCTTGGGGGAGAGAGTATGGTTTAGAAAAAAGAGGGGTCAGGCTTTTGTTGTAGAACAGACATGGGTTGAATCCTGCTTCTATCACTCAGCCACTGGTTTTGCTCATATATAAAATTCTAGCTTATGATACATAATCCAATCCTGATGCTATAAGAAATAAATGAGATAATATCTATCTGTAAAGCATCTAACTTTGTATCTGATACCTAATTTCCTCCTATAACTTGATATTCAGGGGACTCCACAAAATAGTCTTTCCTCACTTTACCTTTACGTGAATATTTTTTCCCAACCCAACTCCCATTTGGTCAGCCTGTTCTAAGCAGCATTTCCTGAATATTTCATGTGAAGTCCTATTTCTATGCCTTCATTCAAATCATTTTTCCTACCTGAAATGTCTTCTTACCTTTTTTTCCCAGCTTTATTGGGGTTTAATTGACAAAAATTATATATGTGTTTTATTTAATTTCTACAAAGAATTTATAAGTGCCTAGATTGCTTTAAGTCCTATACATAGTACAGTGGCTTGCACATAATAGATGTGTTTCACATACATCTTAATCATCACTCTATACCATATAGCTCATATGTAATAATATTCACATATCCATGATAGAATCAGTGTGGTCTAGAGTAGCAGGAAGACTTCTTGAAGATGTTGAAATTCCTTAAGCTGGGACTTAAGGGAGGGAGTAGGTTTTGGATTAGATGTTAAGTAAGGGAAGGCATTTTCTTTTTTTTTTTTTTGTCTTTTTCCGTGTCCGGCAACGGATCACAACCCTCAGTGTCGCCCCCGTACTGGACCGGGACCGGCAACGGGATCACAACCCTCGG